CAGCGGCGGCAGCCCTTAAATATAAGGATAATTGAAAAGAAAATGGAAACAATAGTAGTGGAAACAATAGTAGTTTCCATTTTCTTTTCCATTATCACTGTACAAACCTATATGAGCCTATATTATCCCAATATTACTCCCCCACCCGTCTCTTCTTGCCCCTGCAATTAAAATCATCCTATTCCCCCCCAGCCCTCCTCCCAAATCTGGGGATTCCTAACCTAAGACCAAGATGGAATAAAAACAGGGCTCGAAACAGAACACTTGCAGAGAGCAGCATGTTTACTACCGCCGAGGAGGGAGGGGACAGATGCGCGTAGGAAGGATTACCCGTCAGCGTGCAACGGTCCAAGTGATTTGGGTGCTTTGCAGAGCCCCGCGTTGAGAAAATGCCGAACAGGCTGTTGTCGAGCTTACAAATCATCTGGGTTCCAGCACCCATGTGTAGCTATGGGTCTAGGTCCTAGGGGCATGCAAGCTGAGGGCTTCGGGCTCAAGGACTTGAGACAAAGATTCCATACTAAAGCATCATTCATGCGAGATTGGGAAATGCTCGGGTACGCCCAAGCAGCGTGTAATGTAGGTCTTTCCAGATGATTTTTTTCGGACGGGACTGTGCTAAAAAGCTTGTTACGCAGCATCAAGTGGCTTCAAGCCCTCCTGTTGATCAGCTGGAGAAATTGGAGGGGGGTTATGAGACCAGTATTCCGATTAAACACAGATTACCCGATTCCCAACTGAAGCAATGATGTGAGACAACTGCCCTGAAGCTGTACAAGTCACAATAGGCGTCTATTATGACCAGGCCGTTTTCAAGACTTGGGGCCCGCGGCTTTGCAGCAGTCAGTCTGTGTTCCGCCTTCCGGGTCTAGGCTGAAGCGCTAAGCTCCAGGGGCCCAAATCTTGACAACACGTCAGGTGAGCCATTGTCACGTCTGGCTCCTCGAAGAAACCCTACGGCCCCAACACTAAAATCAGCACTAGGCTTATGATCCTCTCATACCGTCAAGCTCTACGCTGTTATTCTGAGGAGCGTCGACCATAGCTCACGTCTTCAGGACGCCCCGCGCAAGCTTCTTCAGGACTTGCGCCCCTCTTCGCCCGACTGGTGCCTTGCAAGTCAGGCTCCCGCCCTGCAGACCTGCCATGGTATCCTAGATTGGGGTTATATAGGGAGAATGGAAAAGAAAATGGAAACTACTGCAGTATGACAGTGTATATATTGGGGTTATACAGGGGTTATGTAGGGGTATTACCCGAATATTGGAGAATCAAATGGAAGATGAAATGGAAACTGGGGGTATAGATATTGGGGGAATAATAGGGGATCTTGCTGCTCTTTGAGCCCTTGATTTAGCTGATGAGGAGAAACTCATTTTCAGATAGCAACCTGCAAGGGGTCTGGATGCAGTCTTCTGGGGTGTACGGTGGGACGACGGCCAACCCCAGCCCTAAAAACTCCATTTGTCTACACACATGACCAAAATTTCGACGTTGCAATACTTCAGTGTAGTACTAATTATGGCATTACCGGGACTGTTAAGGAAGGTTCAGACTAGGCATTTCGGAGTCTAACCTTGCTGATTTCTCTGTGAGCTGAAGAATGTCCCGCGCCTGCTCGACGGGATGACCCATCTCCTCGCGTTGTAGTTGTTGGGCTGTAGGGTTTCCCGGTCCGGGGTCAGAGGATGTGTCCCTGGGGGCTTCATCCTAAGAGAATCAGGCCTGGGCTTGGTCTATCTTGGGCAGTCGCTAATGTCAGTAATGTCAGATTCGATAGAAGCTATGTTGTAGAGCATTTTGAAGCTGCTTTCCAAGTACCTTTGACCTCAAGTGGTGTTGTAATTATGGTAGCATAACCTTTCATTCCTAAGTTCATGGACCCCTGTCTCTACGGAACAAGACTTATACATCTACGACAGTCCATGTGCCACAGGCGGCTCAGAGTTCAGCATCAAACAGACACATTTCTGACATCCATTACCAAAAGAGCAGGCAAGCAAATCCCGAGGCGGGCAAACAAGTGTTGTTGGGGTACGGCATTCGTAGGACAGACCTGCAGACATCTCCTTTCAGCACGAGATTCTTGACTTCTGCTTGAAGGTGCGCTTAGGGGGCGCCTGGACATCTAATCACTCTTGCTGAAAGACTTTTCAAGAAACCTCTGGCCAGATGAAGAACCAGATGAAGAAAGATGAAGAATCCGAGTCTGGTAAAAATGGCATGTGGGCTTTTGACAACCGTTTAGATGTGCCGACATCACAATGCTTCATCGTGTCCCCTGCATAAAAATGCAACGAAAAGATCTTCCAAGAAGCCATCACATGTTTTGCACATGCCTCTCTTCTCAGCTACACCCCACAAAGACAATGCCCCAAAAAGCCAAACCGGGAGCCAACCTCAAAACCCTTAAAATCCTGAACCAGCTGCTGCACCCTAAACCCTAATGGGAAAAATTCAGGGCTGGCCCAAAACCCTCATCAAACCCTGCCTGAGCTACTAATCCCTTCATCCCACGAGAGGGAACTGCCAAGGCAGTGGCGGCTTCCAGCTTCTGCTTTTTGGCATTGGGCCCTTCTACCTGCAGGTGGTGGGCTTAAGGAAGAGGGATCCCGATTGGAGGAAACTTCTTATAGGAAGTCCGTGAGGTGACTAAGGAGTTACGTAGGTAATCCATGGCTCGAGTCCCCTCAGAACCACCAAAGCAAGCATTCCAAAGGCACGGGTATTAAAACGATGGCAAGTTTCTTCAAGACGCTTTCAGAACAGCCTAGAGAAATCCTGGAGCAGCTCTTCAAATCATTTGCTAAAAGGAGCTGTCTATATGTATCTACCTGTATGTAACAGACGTATGTACACATGAAGATACGTTTGAGTAGCGGCGCGCCTTCTCTGCCACCCCAGTGCTGCCAAAGCCGCCACTGCCACGCAGGGTCTCATCCAGGGACCTTGCTGCTCGGGGGTGTGGATCTTTCTCAAAGCAGGTACTTGGGCTTGGGCTTGGGGCTTTCATGTGGCTAGAGATTAGTGATGCGGGAGTTTTGGTGCTATTTTGCCAGGGAACTTTTTAGGGCTTGGTGTTTACTCAGGGTTTGGGGTTCAGGGCCTCTCCAAATGCAACCCACTAAAATATCAAGAAACTCCGAGCGATGCTTTGGCAATCATGCTGATGATAGCCCTACAAGGGAAGAAGGACTGTTGTAGTAGAGGTAATAGGGCGACCGTTCAAATGGCAGGTATTACTAACTTTGAAGATAGAAAGCAGGAAAACTGTAAAAAGAGAGTTGCCGAGGAGCTCCACTTCGATGCACACATCCATTCTGATCTTCCTTGCACGAGCTCAAAAAGTCTGGTACTCACGCTGTACGACTCCACTCTGTGGAGAGTTGCATGTAAGAATTTCTCAAATCATTGGTTCCTGTCTCCAAAAACAGGACCAATATTATGAGATAACAATCGAGGTCCTTGAATTTGAGTTACTTGCCCTTGACAACCACATGTGCCATGCCATCACTGCAGCTCCAGCGTCTCAAGAATCAGCTGCGCGACGCGGTCCCCAACTGCAACGGGGAAAGCCTGTCATGACCCGAAGCCAAGAAAAGCCGCGCTGAAGGAAGCTGGTTAGGAAGTCCTCTGTGCCATGGTTGAAGAGGACCACGCCGACCTCAAGCGTTCATCTGCCATGTCCCATACTTGCATGCCACTGCGTGCCCAGCCTCCCCACGGTAGTCGTGGTCCACAACTCCTGCTCCTGTGTTGATCCTGGGCCGAAACCCGGGTGTTTGCAACTACTCTGAGAATCGTAAATGCAGCTCTACAACACGTTTTACATCCAGGGTCACCTGCATCCGAGCGGCATTTTCTTCACCGCCAGTCCAGAGCGCGGTGCGATGCGCGCATAGGTGCCCTGAGTCAAACCAGCCATGCTAACCAAGCAAAGCCTCATTAACCAGAGCTAGATCTCCTTGCCTCTGGGACCGCAATGGAGAGGCCAGTCTTCACAACTGCCTCTGAGATCAAGACGGGCACAGAAGAGAGCATTACCGACATCCCAGCCTTGCCACCGGCCGGAATCACCGTCTCCGCTGCAGCAGACAAGTCGAAACCGGCCGCGGCCTGAGTTGTGTCAAGGCAC